TTTAAAATTAGCAATGAATTCTATAAATTTTTCTTTAAATAAATGAAAGTGTGCAGGCAATAATTTAGTAACTAAATAAAATTAATTAATTAATGACTAATCTTGCCCAAAGAAGCAAATAAAAATTAATAGAAAAATTGCGAGTTGTTTCAAATAATTAAAAACACACAAAAAAAAAACAAAAATAATTTGAATGTAATGCGGTCGAGTTTTATATACGTATTTCCAAGGTAAGGGGAATTGTAATAATCAATCTTCTTTCCACCCCACCCCCACGGCTTGCTTAAAAAGATGGGGACAGAAATTTTAATTTTAGAGGGGCGAATGGTAGAGTAGGAAGATAATATCTAAAACTCTGTAAGCAGTAGGTAAGTAAGGAGTTCTCTTCTTCTCCATCAGGGTTTCGAAGCGGAGCGGAGCAAAGGAGCAAGGAGCTAAGGAACAAAGGATTTTAGATGGAGCAAAGAGCTAAAAAATTTCATTTGCTCCTTAAAGAAAAATTTTAAATAGTTTGTTGTTATTTTCTGGCCCAGTAACGATTTATTTTGAAATGTATTTGTTGTTGTTTTTCCAGAAAAATTGTCAACAATAACGTCCTTAAGCTCAATAAAAATTAAACAAAAAAATCAGCAATAAATTTACTTAAATTATAATTTTTTGTCGCTGAAAATAACCGTGTTAAATAAATTTCCCAATTTAATGAACTTGGCATTTTATTTAATTTTCTTTTGGATGCAGAAGTGTTCCTAAAGCATCTAGATGTATCAAAAATAAAATTTTCAAAAAAATTTCACCAAAACTTTTTTGGCGGTTAGGGATCGATATGTAAATAAATAAATAAATAAAAGTTTTTATTGCGAGCTAAAGTGGAGCGAAATAAAATACCGAAGTGGAACTAGAGCGGAGCGAAGAAAAAATAACCTTCGCTCCGAAGCCCTGTTCTCTATTTACTCCTCGTCTTTTAAAGTTCAATGAAAAATTGCAGTCAATTTTGCAATTTATATGAATGAGGAGCACCGAAAAATTTAAAAAAGTGTTACAACTTTCAAATAGCTGATCTCAATGCCGCTAGCATATCCAGCATCATTATAAAAAAAAAAATTAAATTGCAAAAGCAAAAACAATGAAAATGCCGTGAGTTACAAAATAGGTCACACTCAATGTACATAAGTACTAACTGCTACTCATGAATAGATGAAATGGAGATAATTGATAGAGTGAGATATATAAAAAATAAAGTAGTTTACACAGAAGAGGCATCTTATTTTTATTTCGTTGAACAAGTGTGCGCTATTTATAAAACTACAAAAAGGCAGAGTCAATTGAACTAATGTTGAAAAAATAAAAAAAATTACGAAATACCAAATTTACGGTATAGTGAGTGCTCTATCAGCAGTGACAGCAGTTTGCCAGCGGGACATTAACAGTGGCCAACGACGACGAATGATTGGCATTTTCAATTATTAATGATGTGCGGGTTGAGTATACGATTTGAATGGTAGATTTCTAACTGAAAAAGGCAAACAGAAAATCTTGTACAACTAGTTGAAAAAATTCAATAAAAAGTGAGCTGGAGAATCACTATTCATATTTTACTACGAGTATCGCTAGCTAACAATTCTTTTTGCATGAACTTTTTATTTTATTCAGGTAGTTCGTTTTTTTTACCAATGCTTCGCACTGCAGAAAGAAAAAGAGCAAAAAATTTCATAAAAGTAAGTATCGTTTTTCGTAAGCTTTTATTCGGCTATTCCATTCGAATGTAAATTTCACTTTTTTGAACCCATGGAATATAACCCAGCCAGCAAGAAAACGTACATTTTACGAACATTATGTTTTACGAGGGATTCTCGTATCGCCAAAAAGTTAGAGAAAAGCTCGTAAACGATAAAACAAAAAAATATAATAGAAAGAGGCTTGTAATAATTTGTCAGCACAAGAAAAAATTTTAGTTTTGTTGACAATTTTTCTTCAATCACAATATTTTATAAGTAAGTAGTTTGTTAAATATTTAATTTAAGAAAATTATTAAGTATGTGATTTATTGGCAGACTGGTGCAAACGCAAAGGCCGATCTACCACTTTCTTAAAAAACCCCCTTAACGAAAAAGTGAATCAGATGGATGCAAAAATTGGAGCTGTTTTAGAGCGGTTATTTTCAGAGGTGATTGCTTTAATGAAAGAAAATGGTACCCTTCGAAACATTAAGAGACCAACCATTGCAGAGGGCGTCCTGCCAAGAAGCCCATTTAAGGAAAAGCATGCATTTATGGAATTTGAAAAAGACCTTGGGAGTTCAAGTGAAAAACAACAATTATTGGTAACTAAAAACATAAATTAACCATAATAAAATAATTTTTATTGCATTCTTTAAACACTTTATAGGTTTCTGAACTCGAAGCTATAAATATTTTAAATGTAGATAAATGTTTAAGAACGTACTGGCGGAAAATTATTACAGATGAGGTAGCAGAACTTTTCTCGTGGAAGGGAACTGGTACCAAATGCAACGCTATTGGTTTGGCAACGACTGCGGCAATAAGAAGTACTGATTATAATATTATTTATTACCACTTTTTATTTAATTCAATTTTCCGATTTCCAATGGAGTTTAATCTTTAACTTTATTTTTTTAGGTGCTTTTCGTCAAAAATTTAACTCCGACGAAGAAGTTTTTATTTCCGTTTCAAAGAAGCACTTCCAATATGCACACGACCGGCAAAAAAAATTGGCAGCCTATCGGCAAAAAAGAAAAAATAAATTCAGCTACTTTATAATATACATTAAACCCCTCTTATTTAATTGTTAATTTGGAAATAGATAGTTTGTTAATATTAATTTATCTGAAAATATCTTCACATATACAGTGCCGGAAAAAAATATTGGCACAGAGAATTTTTCGCCATGAATGCAAAGTTTTTTATTCTGATTTCTTCTCTAATTGTTTTTTATAAAAATATAGTTAGTAAGAAGTTCTACTTTCAAATCAGATTTTTAGAGAAATTCTAAGTATGCAGTTTTATAGCCCATTTTATTTTAGTATAATAAAGTGCACACTTGAATAGCTAGAAAACCCCTTTGTTTTTTGACAATTTTTTATACGCAGTTTCTTCCATACAAAAAAAAATGTCGCACATAATTTGCATGGAAGAAACTGCGTGAAAAAATTCCCAAAAATCAACTCGGTTTTCTGGCAACCTCAAGCTTGCACTATGTTATACTAAAATATAATGGGATATAAAACTGCATACTTATGGCCTTATTCATAAAAAATAAAGTAGCTTTATAAAAGGTTTATGAATTGAAAAATGTATGAAAACGTCAATTTATAAAGCTCTTTAAACCTACTTTATTTTTTATGAATAAGGGCATTAGAATTTTTCTCAAAAATCTGATTTGAAAGTACTAACTATATTTAAAAAAAATAATGTGCGAAAAGAAATTCAAGTAAAAAACTTTGCATACATTGCGAAAAATTCTCTATGCCAATACTTAGATCCGGCACTATAAATATTTATTAATTATAATTCCATTCAATAAAAGAACTACAATAATTTGACTTAATTAATTGCCTTTATTTTTAGCATTCAAAAACAGTAGATAAAGCAGTGTAAAAAAACGCTTTTTTAACGTAAATTAATCGTTTACGAGACTCGTTTACAATTAAAAAACGGACGTAAAAATATTCGCATACGAATGCTTTTTCGATCCGTTTACGACTGTTCGTAGGCGATGCACAATTTAAAGCGAAAAAGTGCTCGCAAAAGAGTCGTAAACGGCTATCATAAACGATTTTTAATCCGGTTTTTCTTCGAGAAAATATCCAATTACGAGCTTGTTTACGATGATTTTGCTGGCTAGGAATGCACAAAAACAACACAGAGAAAAAATTTTTATGTATGCATGTATGTTGTGACATACTTATCTTCATTTTGGATGCTTTGGATACATAAATCATTTTGAGCTTTGTCTAAGCGCCCCTTCTTCTCTTGCTGTTTAATCGTTTGTGAATTTGATTGTTACATTCATGTAAACAAAAATATTAATAAAATTGTTTTTGGCGAGCTAACACGCAAAACTTATGGAAATACATTTTATGATAAGATGCAGTAATTGACACTAATTTTTATTGAACACGCCCATACAAATTAGGCGCTTTATATTATGAAAACAATGGTCATACCGATTAATTTTACAATGAAAAGTAAAAAAAAAAAACATATATATAAAATGTTTGATTTTTGGGCATCCATAAAGGCAGTGTCACACGATTGGCCATTGCCTAAAATTGGATGAAAATCGTTTCCGAATCGTGCAAATGCACAAATATTTTCCGTTTTTCCTAATCACGAAAAACAAATTGTTCAAATTTTTCAATAGAAGTTCGCTATATTGTACCAATCGTGTGACTATAAGAAAAATATAAAAAATTTACAAATCTGTATGAATGTACCAATCGTGTGAGACTGCCTTAAGAAGTAAAGAGAAGATTTAAATGAGTCATTCAACCAATCCAAATCTGAGCTTTTTGAAAAATTCGAAAATGCTACGAATAAGCTGTCAATAAACAGTTCAAAAACATGTTCCTCCTTCCATGCTCCAGAGTGCTTGTAATATACAGTTATGGACACCATTTCCTACAAATAAAAAAATTTAAAAAAGGAAAAAATGCAATAAATATATTTTTTCTTGCTTCTTGCTTTTCTTGCGTGTGCTAATAAACAAAACGACGATATTATTAATGCACCACATTAAGGCAGCAGCAAATTACCTTTCAACCCATTTTACAGAAAAATATATATTAATTGCATTTTGTTCATCACTTTACGCATAAATTTACATTTATTATAAGCAGAGAATGCATCTTGAAAGTTTAAAACACTGTACAACGCGCTGATATTAAGTTCAATACTTGCATCGTTCACGCGCCATTCCCATTAAATGTTTGTTTTGCGATCCTTAGCAAAAGTAAAATGTTTGAATAAAAAGGCTCTACCATATCTCATTTGCCTTTCACATTGTGTTTATTTTTGTTTTTGAGTAATTCGAACACCAATAGTTCCAACTGCCAGAGTAAGTCAAATACTTTTTGTATATATTTTTCATAATTAACTAGTTTCTCATTAGATCCAGATAAAAAACCAAAAAAATATCGTTATTGTAGTTTCAAAATAATTTTGCAAAGCTGCTCAAACTTTAAAGTTATAAAGTAGCATTTCTCAATGCTTTGTTCTCGCTAAAATTATAATGCTATGTATTTATGTATATGCATACAGCTTGATTTATAATACATTGGAGTATTTACATGGGCTGGGAGAATAGAAAATTTGCATATTTTCGATGCTGTTGTAGCTTATAGCAACTCAGCACGCCTCCCAGCCCAATATTTTAACTTCGTTAGTACCTCTGCTGATAGCTACTACAAATACAGCACTAAAATTCCATGCGATGTCATCTCTCTAATTTATTTTCTTAAAATTTTCTGCTTATGCTTTTAATATTGGTCGAATTTACTTTTTCTTGCCAAAAATCGATTCTTTAGCTTCGTCGTACAGATCTAAAGCAAACAATTTCAAATCTTCCAAGCTAGTCGGAAATTTACTTAGGGGATCCGTATCAACTTCTTCGCCCGGTTTTACTCCCTTTACGAAGTTATACGCAATGACAAATCCTTTGCGCGCCTGAAACAGGGCATCCCGTGCAAATACTTCAGCTTGTCGTGGGTAACAGAGTGAAGCCACGGTTCCGGCACCAATAGTTGTGTAAAGTACTTTTTTGATGAACCCACCACGTGCTGCAAAAATGAAACCAGACAAACCACCAACGGCAATTGCTCCGCTACGTGGCAACACATTCTGTGGTTCGTTTAGATAATCGATGGTGGACTGTGTGTGGGCTTTGGCTGTTTCTATGTAGCCGTCGAATTGAGCCTTTTGATCGGCAATGGCTTTCAGGCCTGCCTGCACCTGAACGCGCACAACACGCACACCACCTTCGATATTTTCGTGCAGTGCTGAATCTTTTTTCGGATGCGGTTCGGACTTTACGCTGTTAAATGAACAGGGTTTAAAGTGGAAAATTGTATATGTATGTACGTCTAAATGATGCGTGTGCATACCTGTTCAATTCGTGCAATGGTTTATAGAGTGGCAAATCACTGGGCCTACAGGTGAAGTTAGCTTTAACATCCTCGTTTTCAACTGCCTTCGGCTCTACCTTTTTTATGGGTACGGCGGCCAGCAACGCAGCAGTAGCTGGTGCTGTTATAAGAACTCTTCGGAACATATTGCGACTGATTGCCCTGCAAAGTTATGGACGCGCTGATTGGCGTTAAATGCTTATCCTGCTAATGCACTAGGTCAATTTCGTGACTATCGCTTAGTCGTCTATGTTTTCACAACAGCCTAAAATGATCAAATAAATTTTCTTCAAAATAAATGATGTTTTTAAGAAAAACTAGACGCTTTAATACTACCTGGTTGCTTGACATTGCATAAGACCCGTTTCACAAAAAGTGACAATTGGAATGACAGTTGCACACAGCTGTTCGAATTCGCTGTGCGAGAAAAGGTGGTCAAAACAAAATAAAGAAAAACAGGACAGTGGAGTCGAGTAGGACAAAGTGTATAACTTTAATTGGATTGTATATTGTCCGAAAAATTTAAAAAATCTATGTTTCAATGAGTAAATTTGGGTTAAAAATTATGTTCCTCATTGTAAAACAATTAGTTTTAGAGGAGTCACACTTTTATATTGGTTTAATTAAATGGTTTTTATCAATTGTTTGAAATTAAAAGTAATTTACATGTTGAAATAATTCAAATACTCACCTTTACTGTATATATTTTAACTAATTTTAACTTAAATTAAAAGTAAATTACTTTTAATTTCAAACAATTGATAAAAACCATTTAATTATCACAATATAAAAGCGTGACTCCTCTAAAACTAATTGTTTTACAATGAGGAACATATTTTGAAGATAGTGCAATTTTTTTCATTTTCTATACATGTAAACTACTCTATAGCGAATTCGTTTCTATAACAGCCTTAACTAAGGCCCTGTCTCCACAGGAAAACACTGATGTCGTGAAAACTATGTCACAAAATATATTTCCAATGGAGACCGCCTATTTCTCATGTGCTGCAATATATGTCAGCGCTTATTGCTTGACATCTATTGCAGGCAATTCGATAGTTTGACAGCCATATTTTCATTTGAAAGAAAGCGTGCTGGTGGTAACATCGATGAAATTTTTATATTAAATTAAAATAAAAGTCTGTTCCTTATTGGATTATTTATTATTACGTTTTAGGAAATTATTCAGCAAGTTTTTTAAAGATTTAAATGTTTTTAAACACCGAAATTGAGAGAATGTTGTCTGGTGGCGTCATGCGGCAAATGCTTATTTCAAGACATCAAAGTGCCCACACACAAAAACTTGCAATCACATTGCTCGTCAAAATGACAGTTGGTAGGCCATCGATGTTTGCCTGTGGAGTTCTGCGGTAATATAAACGCACGCCATTGATTTACGAACGCTGTCAAATTTATTTTTTTGTGTCGTCCGAAATATGTTTACATTTCGTGAGTTCCTCACAATTGCTTAAAACGTTGGTAAGGGGATATTTAATCGTATTTATTTTAAAATGTGTAAAATATAATTCTAAAGGGAAATATGGATTTTATAAATGATATGCAGGAACTTGTTTTTTCTATGCTACATGCTACGCATGTTGTGTATTCTATCATTCTTGACAGAGAACTCTATTTCCCACTTCGCTCTGTCTCTAATTCGCCGCGGTGTCAACTGTCATTTTTCTGCATGGAAAATGATTCAAAACAAAACCATCAAAAAACAATAGGTGCGTTCGACAAGTCAAAAATTTGTAATCGTTTTTCCACATTTTAACTGGATGGCGTTCGATAACGACAAAAAATTATCCGACACACAAAAATTGAGAGAGCAAGCGTTCATTTTGTACTGGCAAAATTTTAGTCAGCAAAAATTATCCAACACGAAAACATATGATCACAAAACATATGGTTGCAATTTTTGTAAACAAACAAAACTGCATTTTCCGAGTTTTGGTATTTATATGCTTTTTGGCTGCCTGCTATGTGACTTTATGATAGCGCCAACTAGTTTTTACTTCTAGAAATGTTCATGGCGAACATTGAACGTTCACTTTCCTTTTTTCTTCTATGGAGGCAACATGAATTTCAATTTTTTTACAAATAAAACATAAACAAAGTCAGCTGGTGTGTCTTCTTCTTCCGGTGTTTGCAAGTAATGGCTAATTTTCTGTTCGTTTACTTTTTTGCTTTTTCAACTCTTTGGGAGAGTATTTTCGCTTACTCTCTTGATTTTGATAGTTGGCTGGTATTGGCTAATTTTGTTATCGAACGCAACTAATTTTGTTTTGTGCTCAATGCGAAAAGGTGGTTGGATAAGCGCGCGATTGTCCGTGGTAGAAAAACCAGATAATTCGGCAAAAGTAAAAATTTAGAACTAAAAAAGAGTAAAACGTATAATTGTTGATAAAGTGCGTAAGAATGAATTAAGGACAATCAAGAATAAATATTGCTTTGTGCTAGTGCTGGGAATTTTGTGAGAAGTCATATATATATAAAATCTATGCTAATGGTTAAAATTTTACAGCCATCTGCAAGCAACATAAAATAAAATAAAATCGCTATAACTATTGCCAACAACAAGAAAAAATTGAGTACATATGTATGTATGTATGTATCATTAATGCAAAAAACGCCTCCACCTCAGCGGGCCTAGTGTTTAGGATACAGAGGCGTTGACGTAGGCGCCTGCGTTAGCACCAATAGTGTTAAAAATAGTCGAGTGATAAGAGGCTTTGCAAGTGGCTTGCAATTGAAAATCTTTAATCGCCTTATCAGATTATTTTTGCTTGTTGCTGGGAAACAGAATAAAAACGCCCCAATTGAGGGCAGTGGGGCACTTCGAAAGAAAGGGCACCTGTGCTTGCATACTTAAGCCAGCAAAATTCGCCAGTGATAAGTAAAATTGTTCACAAATATATGTAGTATGTGCATATGTTAAACTTTGTAAGCAAATTTACTCAAGGAGGTCGTAGCCGAAAGTAGATTGCATCGACAGGTAGACCAATAAATTAAGGCCTAAATGTGGCACTGATATAATGGATGTTCTTGGTAAGAGTATATCATTTGGAACTTTTATTTTAATAACCGCATAGAAGTAGATGATAGATGCAGGTTTTAAAGTTAGTTTTGCTCGGAGCATAGAGCAGAGTTAAGCTGAGTGGTTACATTTCTACTTGTATTTAATCAATTTGCCGGCTACTATTTTCCGTTGAACGGCTTATCTTGTAAAAACGGCCAACATTATTGAAATAATTACTTTGCTTTTGCAGTTATGCATGCTAATAGGCAGTATATCAACCTTACATGAAGTTAAATTAATGCAAATAGTGAATAATCGTTATAAGCGGATGCCGGAAACAAGTGCGTACGGGAACGTGAACCAAAGTTGAAAAGTCGTTTTTGCTAATAACCGCTGCTATCAACCAGTTGAATTTTACGTGTTTGTAGTAAGGTTGACGAAGGCACATTTCTATGGATGTAGCAGCAGGTAGCAACTCAAGATTCAGGTTTGTAATGTGCGTTTTTATATATGTGCCTACATACTTGCATTAAAAATAAAGCTATTTCTTATCTAGGTACTTACATAAATACATATGCAATCATTATTGTACGTATGAATACATAAATAGTACTTGGAGGTTATCGATGTGCCAAATTTGGTACTTAAATTAAGAAAGGCCCTATTTCACATCGTCGCTGAAATGTAAAAAAAACCGTAATTAACTAAATATTTTGATTGTACAAAACGCTGTAGAACTTACCTACATATACTAATTGGATGAGATGCATCATAATCAATTTAAAAGCGAATTTTGGATTTCTAGTTAGCTACGCCTTTTTCTAGTTCTTATAGGGCCTTTCTATATTACATACATACATACATACATACATAGTTATGTGCGTCTAAATGTTCCACTCTGCCACACCTTTGTGCCACGTTTATGCACATATACCTACATATGTATGCGTTTAAATGTTGCGTTACGTCATTTAAAGTACAAAGTCTTATAACACATTTATGAATCCACAGCTGACCATCAACAAACAAATGTTTTACTTAATTTTTAATTCACTGTATTCTCCCAGCTCACGTGCCTTCCGGTAACAAATATCGGCAATGCACGCTTGAAAATGTTCAGGTGGCTGAGATACTGTAGTGCATACAAACATACATATTTATATATTACAAACAAACAAGTGTACATACATATCGCTCATTTACTTCAATAATGCCATAACTCAAATAAGCAAAACTCGAAATAAACGCCTTGAAAGTTTTGAATTTACATAAACTCCAACGGACAAGTTTTGCAAATTTGCAGACATTCTTTAAACATTTCATTGCAACGAGTTATTTCAATTGGAAATTTGAATATTAGCTAGTTGCAATAAAACACGCGTTTTATGATGTCGTTCGAGAGTGGAAACCACAGCGACCTCTCAAGATCATCAACAGTCGGTGTACTGCTTACCAGAATAGAATGAATCTACACTAAAATGTCATCTTTTGTTTTGTTTGTCATCAGTGCCCTCGAACAGTGCCTGGTCAACCTCTCTATTGTAAATTAAGGCCCTTTCGAGCAGCTAATTTAAATAATAAAGATTTGAAGCTCTGGAACAAAATGGGTTTTTTAACTTATTGATACAAAACTTGACAGTTCATTGCACTAAAATCGTGATGGAATTTAAAATAAAATTAAATTTATGGGGATTTGAATACATACCTCCCAAGCTCATCATACGTAAAGATTTTTGCTCAAAATGAGCTACACATCGATGATTTCGATGCTGTAATCAATTTATCTTCAACTGGCCGTAACTTAGTAAATAAGCCCGGGGGAGAAAAATGCCCCCTAAATTTTTTTTTTTGTTTTCGCCCCAGGAAAACGTATGCCAAATATTTGTACGCGGTTTTGGATCACCCTATATACAGTATAACTTATATAGTTTATAGGGTTTAATTCTAGATAGAAAAATACTGTATTTTCCAAAAAAAAGTTTTATATTTTAGCCAAAGTTTTTATTAAAATGGTATCTTAACAAATAAAATATTGATTGTTTAACAAATAAAATATTGTATTGGAATCTAACGACTCGTAGCTTTAATGAAAAAAAATTGCCAAACTTGAGATAAGAGCTTTTCTCAAATGTTCACAAATTTGTGTGTGTGATTGTTACACCACTTTTTGAGGTATTTGACTTTGCGGTATATAAATAGCAGTGCTATAGGCATTATTCGCATCAAGCGGTTTGATATTTTAAAATAAAATTATAATTTAATCATTGTATGTAAATATTACTTTAAAAGCGGAAGCGGGAGCAGAACTTATGTACATACTATATACCTCGCTATCTTCCTGTCGGCAAATATCAATTTTTATCACGCACTGATCCGCCTACAATATTAAAAGTTTTATTAGTTTCGTTATTTACTATATTTGTACGTACTTATGTATGAGCGTCATAAATCACCGCCTGCGTGCTAATTTCTCGTCGTTTGGCTTTTTTCCTTTCGCTCTCCCTCTCTCGCATACAAAGTAAAAGCTTACCCATTTATTTATCAAACAAACTCTGGCTACCACCCAGCTGATAATAAACTTATTTTATAGGTCACGTTGTTAATATGAACCTAGTCTTGATTTATTCGCAGAATTGCATATTGATTACAGCTTAATTAGAACAACAATCGTCTGAGATAGAATTTCTAGTCAGTCGTCTATAAAAACCACATGGTAAAAGTCTAACACATGACCAGAGAGAGAGATAATGGAATTTTTATCATTTTATTTACTATAATGAATTGACTAAACAATGTTTTACAAATAGCATATCAAATTTAACTATACCAAGTAGAATTTGCTTGGTGCAAAGATTAGCTTTTCCCCCAAGTCAATCCATTGACTACAAATTAACTGAAAGGCCTAAAAACCTGTGATACATTTAAATTATGTATACTCCCCTTTGATAAAACGTTTGAAATCGACCTTATATCTAACATATAATATATATAAGAAAATTATGAAAAAAGCGTGATTAATGTTTGCAGCATAACGCAGCGAAATTACAGAGGCAAACACGCTTGTTATCTTATCGATGAAAATATTTATTTATTTACTCCGTTTTTACTTTTACTTTGCAGCGATGTTGATGAATATGGCTTTAAACGCTCGGATAAATTTGATTATAAAAATTATGAACAATTCATGTCCGGTTACCTGAAGACGCTCACAAAGCGCCGCATGAAATGGGAAGCTATCTTGCAGCGTAATGCCGATCTCACCATAATCGACAGTAAATTGAAGCGGTACATAAGAAAGGGTATACCAGGTAATAATGAATTATGAATTCTTTTTTGAATATATTTATAGTGTTTATGGCATTTAGTCAATTTATTAAATATTTTGTTGTACTTTCATATTTGTATACACATCGAGGATTTGATGGAAAGTTTTCGATTGTTATTCAGTTCAGCGTGGCATACCTTGCTCTCCTCTTTGCCAGACAAACAGAGTTTTTTTCTTGTAGTGGTCTTTAAAACGGAGCAGAGAATGAACGTCTCCAAAATGTGATAGAAAACGATCAAATTTAGTCAGGTGCATAAAGTGATAGCAAAGATCAGCAAACATCAACGTTAGAATATCCACAAAATCGATGGCGAATAGCAAACAAAAGTCGAATCGTTCAATTGCCCTATATCAGTACATCTAGAATTATCCTAATCGTCTATAATCTTCACTGAGCTGGCCAAATAAACTGAATATGAAAAAGTTGTTTGCCCTGCTTACAGCTTGAATAATAACCAACAGTTGGCAACTGAAATTTTACACGCTCCAGTGAACACCTTTTATTTAAATGAGATTGCGGAAGCTTACAAAATTAATATTTCACTAATTTTGCAAAAAAATGTATACATATTACTCGTGATAATGATTGACATTTGATTTGAATACATGCTTTTGCATAAAAAAAAAATAATATTTGGCACTCACATTCTTGTTAAATGTTTAGCAAAGCTTCTTCGCCAACTTGAGGCAAGGAAACGCATTTATATAAATTATGTTTCTGATATCAGGGGAGATATGAAATATTTATAATACATTTTATTTCTATTATCTTTAATTGGCTTTGCATTAAAATGCGTTCATCTTCCTCTTTTTTCAGGTCCCTTTCGTCCTGATATATGGATGAAAATTTCTGGCGCCGCCAAATTGCAACAACGTTCACCCACTTTATATCGTAATTTGTTAAGCGCACATTACGAAAAAGAAATCTGCGATTCCATATCAATTGATCTACCTCGTACATTTCCCGACAATATTCACTTTGATATGAAAAAGGAGCGTCTCTTCAACATTTTGGTCGCGTATGCGCATCATAATCGAGAAGTTGGCTACTGCCAAGGATTGAATTATATAGCGGGTGAGTGGTAAAATATGTACTCTACAAATGCTTGTTGCAAAAATCCTATGTGTCTTAAATATTGATTAACTTTATCTTCTATCTTTTTTATAGGACTATTATTGATCGTCACAGACGATGAAGAGAAATCGTTCTGGCTACTCAAACATATTGTCGAGAATATTGTGCCACAGTATCATACAAAAAATATGGCAAATCTATTACGTGATTTGGCAGTATTCAAGGAAATGATTATAAGACGAGCGCCGCAAGTTAATCGGCACATAGAAAATTTAGGTAAGAATGGAATGTTTTTCAATATTTCTACAGTGTTAAAAAATAGTTTAGCCATATAGAGTTTTCTGTAAATTAAATAATGTCGTGTGCCAAGTAAGAAATTATGCAATGATGAAGTGTATTTTTCCTTGCAACTTGTAGTCAATCCCTTGTCCACCCTTTTATAATTGGTATAATTGGATGATGGCATACTTCTTGAAAGACATCTGATATGCGAAGAAGATTAAAGTGGAATCGAATTATTGTTAAAACAGAGTCCGAATAACGTCGTCGATAGAAACTCGATCGAAATTGAATTTTTAGGTTACGGCATTCCTCGACGAGCCGGCCTTCTCAATACAAATTATATTGGAGCAAAAAGAGCACAGAAACACATTCGATACGAAAGTACTTTCCGATAGCCCTTTGATTTGTGTAGTTATCAATATCATCATACTTTTGCTCGGATAAAATCACTAATTTTAAGGTTATTTGATTACTAGGGGTAGTTTTATACTTTGCAAATTGAAAATATCAACACGCTTGGAATAAGATATGTTACAGTTTAAACAAATTTGCTTTTTCCTTTCAGGCTTACCATATGCTGTGATAGCGAGCAAATGGTTCATTTGCATATTCGCTGAGGTGCTTCCTGTTGAAACAGTGCTGCGTATTTGGGACTGTGTCTTTGCGGAGGGATATAAGGTAGGCCACACAAACATATGAACCACTTGTCTTTTAAATTCGAGCACTCTTTTTTCCATTTCCTTTGCCTTGTTCAGATTATCTTTCGCGTTGCGCTGGCATTATTCCTAACACATAAAACAGCAATACTCGGTTGCGATGATATCGCCGCATTAGCGAATTTATTTCGTGAAAATATGATGCAAGGTGACATTGTTACCAACTGCCATAGTTTTATGGAAGCCATGTTCAAAATACGTTTGAAACGTAGTGAGCTGGAGGCGTTACGCAAAGTGTGCGTAGGACGCAATAATACCTAAGAAGAAACTATTTAGAAGAGTACTACAACCAAATGCAAAATGTTTATAAACTATGTAGTACTTGCGGCTTAAGTTACTTAAAACACCTACATACATACTAACTAAATAACTTAAGGCAACATACAACTACCTAATTGTCATACGTATGTATGCACAACAACACAACGCAAGCTAATAATCATTGGATAATTGGTATGTGACAAACTTAAATGAGTAGCAATGATTAAATGTAGGAAACCAGCTAATGTTCATTACGTTAGAGGAAATGCTTAGTAGCCACAAAAGTATCGAATTGCTTTCAACAAAACATAAGTTTAGAATCGAAGAACAATGATAATAATACAACATGTTTAACATATTTAGATATGTATACACAAGAATACACTAAGGCATTAAGTGCAACCAAACTACCAAAATACATAGAAAGTAATTTAAGTTACAAATATATACATAAATAGTTTTAGATTATAGATTATAGTGTACCATAATTATAGAATGTGCGCATACTTGTATTTATTACATATATTCTATATGTATGTATGGACTTAACGCATGTGTTTAACGTATGCAAATGTATGGGAGTGTGAGATTTATCGGCGTGAGTATGCTTACATTGGACAAATATTTGTTATGATTGCTGTTGTCATTTGTTTAGTAAAATCTAAAAGAAGTAAACACTGAGCAATGCTTTTGTGTACAACAAATTAAATTATTTTGCGTGCTGAAATTAGTTTTAAGTAGCTTAATGATGGAGTATGATCAATGCCATGTTTTTAAACTGCAGATAGATATTAGAAATGTTCGCATTTTGAAGCGGAATTGAAGCTTAAATTGGCAAAAACATGTTAATGGACGAGGTAGCAAATATGTAGTTGCCTTTTGGCGGAAGTTTACCTTAATATAAATACTTTAAGTATTCTTTTCACTTCCAGTATCTCAAAAGTTAAATTTTTATTACAATTATTTCTGAAATATTTATACCTGAGTATTGTTTAACGGATGTTTAAAGAACTTATGTAGATCGAGTTTGCATGAACAAATCAAAGTGTTGCCGAATGGCTTCAACATTTAATTATGTAGTTTATTGCATTGCTTGGAACTGAAATTATTGATATACTTTTTGCATTTAAAAGAGATTTGGGTTGGACTTGGTATATGGGTTGGATATGATGTCTGAAGGAATTTCTACAGAGAAGGCAGCACATATGCGAAAAGTATAAGGACTACGTGATTGCGATACACAGCTTGATGCGACTTGCCGGGTGCAACAGCGAGCCAATGACGCGACTTATTAGTGGACAAATCCTTGGAATCGTAGAAACAATTCAGCTATGATATCAGGTTTCCAAAAGCGATTTTCTCAATCCTGTCCATAATCGGCAGTTTGTTGCTAGGTTTCGAAAACACTGCGTTTCAGTAGCAATCGCAGGAAGTTTTGTTTTTTTTTGGCTTCGTTAAACATACCCTTTGAATGTTTAATTCTGAGAAATTTTGATGGTGCGTCAGTTGTGTTTATATAGCAACTCTTAGAGTCTTTTAATGAAAAAAAAATAATAAATGGAGTGTTCCAAACGATTTCAGCCATGAAATCATGTGAAATCGATCTACAAAGCGGCGCCGAGTTTATATTTAATACATTTCTTTGTTTTAAATTTCAATAGTTGATAGCATCGGACAAATTTAGTTATATAATATTATTGCTTTCATAGATGTATGGATATTTTACCTCTTGTAATACTTAAGAATAAACAATTGTTCATAAAAAGCTTTCTTAAAATATTAAAATGGTATTATTTTACATATAAATAAGTTGAAACTGAAAAGAAAAATTTAGGAGCTTGAAGCCTGTTGAACATTAGAATAGAAATTTATTTAGTCAAATTGAAGAGGATTGAAACAAAATATTGGCATTCATAGCTATGAACAAATTAGATGGCTTAAGAATTGAAAACAAATGAACTAAGTAGAGAATAAATGTGTATTTAAACAATAATAGTTATAGCAGCGGGCTCCAACCGACGAAATACTTGACTAAAATTTAATGCAGACCACAAATTTTATTTGCAATGTTCTATAATACAAACACACACACACACACACACATGCGTACATACATACATGCATACACATACGCTTAACACTATCGCTAAGTCATCCGAAAAATTACTAAGCAATCGCCTGGAGATGGCAATTGAAAAAGCACTTCGTTTATCGGAAACACAATACGGGTTTTAAAAAGTATAGATCAACAATTGATGCCACCTAAAGAGTGTTAGACATCGCAAAAGCTGCCGGGAGTGGCAAAAGATGGAAAGGTGGAACTAAAAAATACTGCGCGCTTGTACGGGGCAAATATAATCAAAACCTTGCTCCTCGTTACCTGATAAATATTATAATGAGCTATGCATTTTCATTGTAGAATAAAGATGATGTATGATAAAGAAGAACTCGTCAAGAAATATGCAATATTCAGTGGGGTACCATAATTTTCTGATTCGGGTTCTCTCATCTGGAACTTCATGTACGATGGTGTTCTAAAACTACGCCAACCCTATTCCGCACAGTTGATTGCATACGCTGATGATCTTGCAGTAGTGGCGGTAGGCAAATATTTTGAATGGCACTGCTACTCTACGATGGGCTAAAAACTCGCCGGGCATAAAACCGAAAGCATTATAATTACTGTGGGAGATTATGAGACTACGTCACTGCCACGCCTAAAATACCTGGAAGTAATATTCGACTCTAAGCAATGTTTTAAAGATCATTTGCTATACATAAATAACAGAGAAATCCACAAACTCGTATGATGCCTTTTGAAGAATCATGCGAAAGATATACATCTTTACATTTAGTTTTGGACGCAGTGGGCAAAGCTACAGACTTGTTAGAACGCCGCATTCCGAACAGCGACAGGATGCCCTCTGATGTCGCCTGAGCCCTACCTGCACTGCGAGGCCGAAATGCTTCTCGTAAGGGAGCATAACAAAAAGCTCAGCAAGCAGTTTCTGGTGATGATGGCACAGAAGGGAGCACCCCAACAGACCCTTGCTCGTCAGAGGGAAACTTCGTATGCATGGACACGGTCCAGTCATACATCGACCAACCACTAGACCCGACGAGTTATCAGTTCGTTCCCACGACAGTCGGGTCTACGTAACCGGAACGACCCAGACTTATATCTGGCCAAGAACTGTCACTCCAGCAACGCTCCCCAAAAAGTCTTTGGGGAATTTGTATGCTGCTACAACAACAACAACGAGTTATCAGCGGCATTCATAGGGAGTTGGTCCGCAGGTGACGCGACTCCCGGCCTGTGAATGCTATGGTCGGAGCCCAGTCACCAACTGTAGCAAACTCGGAGCTCCAACTGCCAAGAGACACGGTCTGAATAATGTAGCCGTCTCAACAACTACCTCTCCAGACTCGTCCTCAATATCGTCAATGAGTGTACGACATGTGGAGACTCGCCAAATGCAAGCAATCAACTCTTCACATGCCTCGGAAGCATGGACAATGACAATATCCGATGAGGCCGCTTTTGGAGTATTCGAGAGAAAGATTTTTCGGAAGATTTACGGACCTTTGCGCATTGGCCGTAAAGCGAATACTGCAGGCGACAGAACAATTAGCTGTATAAGCTTTACGGATATAGTGCAGTGGATTAAAATACAGCAGCGTCGCTAAATGGACCGAAATGCTCCAGCTCTGAAAGTATTCAACTTGGAACCCGCTGGTGGTAGCCCCACTGCGATGGGAAGACTAAATGCAGAAGGATTTGGCTTCACTTGTCATTTCCAATTGACGTTAGTCGACACAGAAGAGAAGCTTTCTTGAATTCGGCCAAAATCTCTAAGACGGTTATAGTGCCAAATAAGTTAAGAAGAAACATCTAACGAATACTAGAATTAGAGAAGAAAAGAAAGTGAGCCCCTCAGCGTGGCAGCAATTTTTGGCAAACGTCATTCTAAGATCGGTGAACTCATAAGCTCATACCAAATATTGGCCAGTGTATGGAGAGAAAAAATTGGACAAATCCTTAGGTGGCACGGTAGTTTTAGGTATTAGCTTCTTAGATTTGTACAGGAAAATAGTTCGTATTATCCGACTTGCCCACAAAGCCCTCGATATTTACTGGCTGGAAACCGTCTTGATACTGCCCCAGAGGTGAGTAGTTCAACGGAGGAAAATTCCTCTGAAATTTGGAAGTCTGACTTCGATGCGTCAGCTACAATTATGATCGAAGTACGCCACTTAGCTAGCATTAGGCATAGGTCCGTCCGTTTTACTTAGAGGATGTAATTGTCCATCACTTCTACGAAGTAATACCTAAGCGGTGGGTCCGTAGGAATGATTTGTGGTGGCATAGTTTAGGCTTAGCGGATTAAAGTTTCGCGCATTCCGATGCTTTCGCTTACTTAAGGAAAAAACTCAATGAACGAACAACTCAATGCCAAACGTATTTCTAAATACACATACATACCTTACTGTAATTATGTACGTAATTAAATAAGAATAAGTAATTAAAAATATCAAATACGTAAATACCTATTTAGATAAAAAAAACACTCAATTATCGATCTAAAGAACTGCATATCAAAGAGTAAAACTATTGTAAATTTACATATGTGTATGTATGTATGTATGTGTGCGTAGACATGAAAATTAAAAATTGAAAAATATTTATTTCAACTATCTTGCTTAATAAAATGCTTAGACGCCTCAAAGTTGACAAATTTACTTGTAAACTAGAAAAAAAAACCTACCTCCTTACTTCAGCAGATACCTTCGCTTCTATACCATCCTTAATTTTCCAATAGGTTTGTTCGTCGAGCAAAAAATTTGTACGAATTTGTACGAATTATCACGATTTTTGCCCAAATCGCGTTCGTGCAGACCAAAAAATTATCCAACACTCAAAAATTGTGAGAGCAAAGTGACAGTTCTCTTGGAGAGAAGTTGCAAATTCTTGCTGGAAAAAATTTTGCCAGCAAGAATTTGCAAACACGAAAAACATGTGGTTGTGGCGCATGGTTGCATTTTTGTCTACAATAATTTGA